TTATATATTTTTTCACCATAACTAAATACTGATGTGCACCTGAAATTCTGAAAGAAGAATTTTGAATATCACAATTCTATCACGCCTCCCTTAAATATAAATTTTATCTGATGCAATGTATGCTCTTTTATCATATATTACACCTAAAAATATTTTAAGCAAGTGTATGAAAAGTGAGATGCTAAATATTGTTTGTGTGTGTGTGTGTGTGTGTGTGTGTGTGTTTATAAAGTTTTGGACTCTGACATGGTTAAGATACTTTACAAAAAAAAGATAGATTTAAATGAAACAAGCAGAGAGATTACAGTTTGCAAGTCACTAAGTAATGCCCATGAAACATCATTATTTCATCTGCATGTGGATTATAGATGAATGGCAAGAGAGAAGCCATGCCGCCTGTTTTGTCTGAATTAATGCTCTTCTGAAGAAGGATGTGGAAGTCATTCAGGCTTCCACGTTCTTTAATTTCTTTTATTAAGGCCTGTACAAAGTCAATGTAGCTAGAAGGCAATACCCAGGCTTTCAGAAACTACAAAGTGTAACAGCTGGTCCCAATTACCCTCTCTGCAGTGTGACCATATGCACAAATGTTCAACTTTCTGTTTAAGTTCATGAATTTTTTTTAAAAAAATGAATTCCTTGTAAAAACTTGAGGCATGCTACGTTCTTTGCATATATTTATGTCTACAAACTTTTAACCTTCTAGTTATACTCAAACGTATGGAGAAAGTAGCTCAAATAAGACTGTTTAAGCTGGCAGGACAGAAATATTTTTAACTTTAAATTAAACATACAATGCAATAGATTTTAAAAAGTTCACCTTCTAGAACAAAACATGTTTCAAGAGGCACGGAATTTTAAAAGAATCATTTAACAAAGAAATTGAATAATCTTGCAGTAAGCATACAGGCAGGTAGGTAACTTTTTTATCAGCTGATTAAGACTAATGAGATTTGGCATTTCCGACTCCAGTGACCTTTATAAAAATCATAGGCTGTCTCTTCAATACATCATATTGAACTAGAGATAACAAATATACATGCTGAATTGACCTTTTTAATCGCAATCTGAAGTTGAAAATTACACCTTTTTATATTCTTTATATGAAGTTCAAAGGAGGTTTGTAATACTACCGAGGACTCTGTTAATTTGAATTCTTAACTTTCTGTAGGAACCATTATACTTAAGGTCCATTTATCTTATCTGTTGTAATGAATGAAATGTAGCTAGCACTAATAAGGTGGCATTCATTAACACTGAAACTGATTACCTAATATGAATCACAATTGCATATACCTTATTTTTTAAGTGGGAATATAGCAACTTGTTCAGTGTAGGAATATGCATCAACTCCTTAAGTTAGTGACAAAATGATAATAAAATACATCTTTTGATCAACTAAATGACATGGATAGGTAAGGGGAAATTATGTGCTCTTTTGAATACAGAATGGTAAACCATATTTAAGAAATGAACCATGTGAATAAGAATGGAAAGTAAGTTTATAAAGGTTACAAGTTCCATAATCTCCTTGTATTATAAATATTTACAATTTTAAAAAAATGTGTTTTTCTGAAAAGAAAATATTTAAGTAGCTATTCAGGAGCATAAATTTGTAGCTGCAACTATATGTTATAAAAATAGTGGTAAAATGAATCCTGCTTAAAATATCCCTAGTATTAATTATGTTTTATTAGTTTGTATAGTCTGGAAAAGGAGAAATATAATGATCAAATCTTCTTTCCAGACACGTTTTAATATAGTTACTATTAATTTGGAGGCTAGGAACTGAAAATAAATTGCTGGAAGGCACATGGATTTTTATTTGTGTGGAATGGGCTTTTTCCATTTGCACAGTTTCATCAGCATAACAGAACATATTAATATGCTTACTTTTTGTATGACAGTTGGTTAAACCGGTTGAATGAATATTTATCAAAATCCAACTATCTAAACTTTATTAGGGCTCACATCTGTAATCCCAGCACTTTGGGAGGCAAAGGTGGGTGGAACGCTTGAGGTCAGGAGTTTGAGATCAGCTTAGCTAACATAGCAAAACTCCGTCTCTACGAAAAATACAAAAATTAGCTCGGTGTGATGGCTTATGCCTGTAATCTCAGCTACTCAGGAGGCTGAGGCAAGAGAATCGCTTGAGCCCAGGAGGTGGAGGCTGCAGTGAGCTCAAATGGCACTACTATCCTGGGCAACCAAGCAAAATTCTGTCTCAAAAATATAAATAAATAAAATAAAAATAAACTTTATTGATTTTTGATCCAAGATGGTTGAATAGGAACAGCTCTGGAGTGCAGTTCCAAGCAAGAATGCAGAGGGTGAGTTATCACTGCATTTCCAAACAAATTTTTACTGCCCACAGACCAGGAGATTCCTGGGAGGAAAAGTGCCACGAGTCTCCAGCATGGCTGCTCCAGCCAGTGCAGTGGGTCTCTGCACAAAAACTCACACGAATCAGGGCACCATTTCAACTGGCGGCTGGAAAGCCTGGGAGACAGAGTTGCCCATTCAATTGAAAAATAGGGGGCTGAAACAGGGGGCCAGGTGATCTGGCTCAGTGGGTCCCACCCACACAAAGACAAGCAATCTGAAATGCTCTGGATTGAGAGTTTCACAGCAAGCCCAGCTGGACCCAGGATGGTCTAGCTCTGTGGGAGGAAGGGTATCTGCCTTACTGAGGCAGTCCACCACTACCGAGGCAGTTCGCCATTACAGAGACAGTCCGCCATTACTGAGGCAGACCCCCATTACTGAGGCAGTTCTAACTATACCTCTATAAACAAAACTGCAGGGAAGTTCACATAGCAGCTGTGCAGAGCCTACGGCAGCTCAGCAACACCTCTGCTGGCAGACTGTGACTAAGCTATCTCCTGACTGGACAGGGCATCTCTGAAAAAAGGCAGCAGCACATCAGGAACTTATGAATAAAGCCACACATTCCCAGGACAGAACACCTGGGGAAAAAGGTGGTTATCAGTTCTGCTGCAGCAGACTTAAATGTACCTGCCCAGCAGCTCTGAAGGGAACAGTGGAGCTCACAGCTCAGCACTTTGGCTCCTATAAGGGACAGACTGTCTCCTCAATCAGCTCCCCAACCCCCATATATACAAAGAGACTCCTCATAAAGCAGAGCTCAGGCTGACATCTGGCGGGTACGCTTCTGGGACAAAGATAACAGAAGAAGAAACTGGCAACAACCCTTACTGTTCTGCAGCCACTGCAGGTGATCTTCAGGCAAGCAGGGACTGGAGTGGACCTCCAGCAGTCCTAAAGCCGAGGAGCCTGACTGTTAGAAGGAAAGCTTAAAAAAAGAAACAAATAACTTCATCAGCAGCAAAAAGGATGTCCACTTAGAGATCCTATTTGAAAGTCACCAACTAAAAGACCACAGGTAGATAATCCACAAAGATGGGAAGAAACCAGCGCAAAAAGTATGGAAACACCAAAACCAGAAAAATCATAGATTGAAGACCAACTTAATGAAATAAAACAAGAAGTCAAGATTAGAGAAAAAGAGTGAAAACAAATGAACAAAGCCTCCAAGAAATATGGGATTATGTGAAAAGATCTAATCTACATTGGATAAGTGTGCCTGAATGTGATGGAGAGAATGAATCCAAGTTGGAAAGCACTCTTCAGGATATTATCGAGGAGAACTTCCTCACCCTAGCAAGGCAGACCAATATTCAAGTCCAGGAAATACAGAGAACACTACACAGATATTCCCAAACAAGAGCAACCTCAAGGCACATAATCGTCAGATTCACCAGGGTCGAAATGAAGGAAAAAATGCTAAGGGCAGCCAGACAGAAAGGTCGGTTTACCCACAAAGGGAAGCCCATCAGACACACAGCAGATCTCTTGGCAGAAACCCTACAAGCCAGAAGAGAATTGGGACCAATATTCAACATCCTTAAAGAAAAGAACTTTCAACCTAGAATTTCATTTCCAGTCAAACTAAGCTCCATAAGCAAAGGAGAAATAAAATCCTTTACGAACAAGCAATGGCTGAGAGATTTTGTCACCACCAGGCCTGCTTTACAAGAGCTCCTGAAAGAAGCACTAAACAAAGAAAGGAGCAGTCAGTGCCAGCCACTCCAAAAACATACCAAATGATAAAGAGTACTGACACAATGAAGAAACTGCATCAACTAATGGGCAAAACAACCAGTTAGCATCAAAATGGCACGAACAAATTCACATATAACAATATTAACCTTAAATGTAAATGGGCTCAATGCCCCACTCAAAAGACACAGACTGGCAAATTGGATAAAAAGTCAAAACCCATCAGCGTGCTGTATACAGGAAACCCATCTCACATGCAAGGGTACACATAGGCTCAAAATAAAGTGATGGAGGAAGATTTACTAAGCAAGTGGAGAGAAAAAAAAAGCAGGAGTTGCAATCCTAGTCTCTGATAAAATAGACTTTAAACCAACAGAGATCAAAAGAGACAAAGAAGGGCATTACATAATGGTAAAAGGATCAATGCAACAAGAAGAGCTAATGATCCTAAATATATATGCCCTCAATAAAGGAGCACCCAGATACATAAAGCAAGTTCTTAATGACTTGCAGAGAGACTTAGACTCCCACACAATAATAGTGGGAGACTTAAACGCTCCATTGTCAATATTAGGCAGATGAATGAGACAGAAAATTAACAAGTATATCCAGGACTTGAACTCAGATCTGGACCAAGCAAACCTAATAGTCATTTACAGAACTCTCCACCCCAAATCCACAGAAATTACATTCTTCTAGCACCACATCACACCTACTCTAAAATTGACCACATAATTGGAAGTAAATCACTTCTCAGCAAATGCAAAAGAACAGAAATCATAACAAACAGTCTCTCAGACCATGGTGCAATCAAATTAGAACTCAGGATTAAGAAACTAACTCAAAACTGCACAGCTTCATGGAAAAAGAACAATGGGCTCTTGAATGTTGACTGGATAAATAATGAAATGAAGGCAGAAATAAAGATGTTCTTTGAAACCAATGAGAATGAAGACACAATATACCAGAATCTCTGGGACACATTTAAAGCAGTGTCTAGAGGCAAATATATAGCAATAAATGCCCACATGAGAAACAAGGAAATATCTAAAATTGACACCCCATTATCAAAATTGAAAGAGCTAGAGAAGCAAGATCAAAAAACCTGAAAAGCTAGCAGAAGACAAGAAATAACTAAGTTCAGAGCAGAATTGAAGGAGATGGAGATACAAAAAACCCGTCAAAAAATTAACAAATCTAGGAGCTGGTTTTCTTAAAAGATCAACAAAATAGACTACTAGCCAGATTAATAGAAAAGAAAAGAGAGAAGAATCAAATAGATGCAATAAAAAACGATAAATGGGATATCACCAATGGTTCCGCATAAATAAAAACTACCATCAGAGATTGCTATAAACAACTCTACCCACATAAACCAGTAAACCTGGAAGAAATGGATAAATTCCTGGACACTTGCACCCTCCCAAGCCTAAACCAGGAAGAAATCAAAAGCCTGAATAGACCAATAACAAGGACTGAAGTTGAGGCAGCAATTAATAGCCTACCAACCATAAAAAGCCCAGGTCCAGAGGGGTTCACAGCCAAATTCTACCAGACATGCAAAGAGGAGGTGGTACCACTCCTTCTGAAACTATTCCAAAGAATACAAAAAGAGGGACTCTTTCCCAAATCATTTTATGAGACCAACATCATCCTGATATCAAAACCTGGCAGAGAGTCAACAAGAAAAGAAAACTTCAGGCCAATATCTATGATGAACATAGATGCAAAAATAATCAGTAAAATACTGGCAAACCGAATGCAACAGCACATAAAGGAGCTTATCCATCACAATCAAGTAGGCTTCATCCTGGGGATGCAAGGCTGGTTCAACATACACAAGTCTATAAGCATAATCCACCACATAAACAGAACCAAAGACAAAAACCACATAATTATCTCAATAGATGCAGAGAAGGCCTTCAACAAAATTCAACAGCTGTTTATGCTAAAAACTCTGAATAAACTAGGTATTAACGGAACATATCTCAAAATAATAAAAGCTATTTATGACAAACCCACAGCTAATATCAAACTGAATGGGTAAAAACTGGAAGCATTCCCTTTGAAATCTGGCACTAGACAAGGATGCCCTCTCTCACCACTCCTATGCAGTATAGTATTGGAAGTTCTAGCCAGAGCAATCAGGCAAGAAAAAGAAATAAAGGGTATTCAATTAGGAAAGGAAGAAGTCAAGTTGTCTCTATTTGCAGACTACATGATTGTATATTTGGAAGACCACGTCTTCTCAGCCCAAAATCTCCTTAAACTGATAAGCAACTATAGCAAAGTCTCAGGATACAAAATCCATGTGCAGAAATCACAAGCATTCCTATACACCAATAACAGACTTAAAGAGAGCCAAATCAAGAACGAACTGCCATTCACAATTGCTACAAAGAGAACAAAATACCTAGGAATACAACTAAGAAAGGATGTGAAAGACCTCTTCAAGGAGAACTACAAACCACTGCTCAAGGAAATAAGAGAGGACACAAACAGATGGAGAAACATTCCATGCTCATGGTTAGGAAGAATCAATATTGTGAAAATGGCCATACTGCCCAAAATAATTTATAGATTCAGTGCTATTCCCATCAAACTACCTATGACCTTCTTCACAGAACTGGAAAAATCACCTTAAACTTCATATGGAACCAAAAGGGAGCCCACATACCCAAGTCAATTCTAAGCAAAAAGAACAAAGCTGGAGGCATCACACTAACTGACTTCAAACAATACTACAAGGTTATAGTAATCAAGACAGCATGATACTGGTACCAAAACACAGGTATACACCAACGGAACATAACAGAGGCCTCAGAGGCAATGCAACACATCTACAACCATCTGATCTTTGACAAACATGACAATAACAAGCAATGGGAAAAGGATTCCCTGTTTAATAAATGGTGTTGGGAAAATTGGCTAGCCATGTGCAGAAAGCAGAAACTGGACCCCTTCCTGACACCTTACACTAAAATTAACTCCAGATGGATTGAAGACTTAAACATAAGACCTAACGCCATAAAAACTCTAGAAGAAAACCTAGGCAAAAACATTCAGGACGTATGCATAGGCAAGGACTTCATGACTAAAACACAAAAAGCATTGGCAACAAAAGCAAAAATAGACAAATGGGACCCAATTAAACTCCAGAGCTTCTGCACAGCAAAAGAAACAATCATTAGAGTGAACAGGCAACCAACAGAATGGGAAAAAAATTTTGCAATCTACCCCTCTGACAAAGGGCTAATATCTAGAATCTACAAAGAACTAAAACAGACTTACAAGAAAAAATACAAACAAACCCATTCAAAAATGGGCGAAGGATATGGACAGACATTTTTCAAAAGAAGACATATTTGAGGCCAACAAACATATGCAAAAATGCTCGTTATCACTGGTCATTAGAGAAATGCAAATCAAAATCACATTGAGATACCATCTCACTCCAGTTAGAATGGCAATCATTAAACAATCTGGAGACAACAGATGCTGGAGAAGATGTGGAGAAATATGAGCACTTTTACACTGTTGGTGGGAGTGTAAATTTGTTCAACCGTTGTTGAAGATAGTGTGGAATTTCCTCAAGGACCTAGAAAGGGAAATTCCATTTAACCCAGCAATGCCATTACTGGGTATATATCCAAAGGGTTATAAATTGTTCTATTACAAAGACACATGCACACGTATGTTCATTTTGGCACCGTTTACAATAGCAAAGACCTGGAACCAACCCAAATGCCCATCGATGAGAGACTGGCCAGGGAAAATGTGACACATATACACCATGGAATACTATGCAGCCATAAAAAAACGATGAGTTTGTGTCCTTTGTAGGTACATGGATGAACCTGGAAAACATCATTCTCAGTAAACTGACACAAGAACAGAAAATCAAACACTGCATATTCTCACTCATAGGCGGGTGTTGAACAATGAGAACACATGGACGCAGGGAGGGGAGCATCACACACGAGGGTCTGTTTGGGAGGACAAGGGGAGGGACAGCGGGGGTAGGGAGTTGGGGAGGGATAACATGGAGAGGAATGCTAGATATAGGTAATGTGGAGGCAGCAAACCACATTGTCATGCATGTACCTAGGCAACAATCCTGTATGTTCTTCACATATACTCCAGAACCCAAAGTGCAATAAAATATATATATTTAGAAATAAAATAAAAATAAATAAATAAGGAAATAAACTTTATCAGAACATTCCACTAACTTTTCAGTATTGATAGAATCAAACATTAATTATCCAAATGGTATTAACGTATTCTAGGAATATGGTTTTAAAAGTGTTTCAACCATCTAATGATAGCACATTCTGGCATTTTGATAAAACGTGCTTCTCTAATTTCTTCCATAGATAAAGACCTAATTCACTTGAAATGATCAGACACAAGACCATGCAGAAGACTAGAAATGTTTTCTGCATAATTTCCAATATATTGAATTTTTGTTTAGCTTTTATAACTAAAGGGCTATTTTATTTAATACAATTTTCACTTGTAGGTTATTAACAATCACTTAACCTCTTTAAAGTTCCTGCTGTTCTAAAACTAAAGAATAGCTAAGATTCCTCTAGCTATGTTATTCTATAATCTGTAAAGCTCAGTACAACTCTGAAAGTTAAAAAAGCCCTTCAATCATCAACCAAATCTTTCATCATGCAACAGAAGTATGAACATTAATGATCTATTTAAGATTCACTGTCAGAAATATTTTAGGTTGACAGAAAACCATCTAATATTTTATGTTGGTATATCATAGTAATAGATGATGACACAATTTCAACTGATGTGTCAAGCACAATATTTAATATTCTTCTGGGAAGATTATTTCAAATTATAAATCAAAATCAAAATAAAAAATAGTGCTTCACTTGAAAATCATAAATATCTGTCAAATATCAATGAATGGTTTATTATATAAAAGTGAAATATTGATAGATGGAGTGACTCGTACATTTGTTACAGCTATTTTCAAATCCGTCCATTCTTAGAAGCCCCTCGATATGATCAATAAGCATTTTAATAGAGCAGCCAAGAAGTGTAGGAAAGCTTTTTTTTTCTTTTTTCACCTCCACTACGCCCTTCTACATTTTTTGTTAGAAAGTTTTCTGTTTCCTATTTGTAATATATTTCAAACAGAGACATACACTTCTTGTAGCCTAAAGGAAAAACAAAAACTTTCGGAATAGCTATAGTTGTAAGTCTAGGGTACAAGGGGGAAAACAGTTGCTTGCTTATCTTTTTCCCTAAACATTAAGGCAAGACCCTGTTCATGTGGATGAGGACAGAACAGCTTGAGCCTCTTGGCAACTCTATGCTATCATTGCATCTTATTGCAAAGCAGGCAATATTTATGCTTACATTCTGAAAAAAAGAAAAGAATACCTTTGATAAAAGATCTCTGCATTAGAATTACTGAATTGTCCAATCTGTGTATTGTTGATCTTCATCACCTCATTCTGATTTACTTTTACCCTATGATTGAACAAATCAAATCGTTACCAGTGTAATCCCTTCCCACTTTTTTAATCTGGTAAAAGAGAAATGGATGCCCTGCACCTCTTAACTTACAAACAAAAATTATAGGGTATTAAATTATATTAATTTTGAAACTGTTAATAATGCTACATGGTTCATATAATTTAAGAGGCTAAGAGGTCACATGGTTGGTAACACATGAAAAAGTTAATGTTATAGTTGGGGTCAAATAGAACTTCCACCTGAAAGTACCTTTATCCAATTGATCTGGAACATTGGTCTGGAAGTCATTCCGATGCTCTCTCTATCCACTAATTCTCTTTATTCTCTCTGTGTACAAAAATGGAAATAATTAATTTGCATGTGTGCTTTAGGCAACAGTAGAGTATATTTCAACATATAATTTTCATATCATTGATGGATGAGAAATATAGAGGTAAAATACTAATAGTAGTATAAGAAAAGTAGCTTTATTATAGAACAAATTTCACATAAATCTTGTGAATGGGGAATTCAGTGTGTATGTCTATATATGTGCATGTGTCTCTGAAAATGATTTTTGAATGAACCATAAAGAATAACACAAAGTAGACATATAGCATGCATATAAAACATTCCACCCCGCCTCTCCCATGCTGAAGAGCAAATGCATGTTGTATCTACCTGCCTATGTTAAATTTTTAGTTTTGTGCCGATTACACCTGTAATCTTAACACTTTGGAAGGCTGAGGCAGGTGGATTGCCTGAGCTCAGGAGTTTGAGACAAGCCGGGGCAGCATGGTGAAACCCTGTCTCTACTAAAACACAAAGAAATATGCCAGGCACGGCGGCATGTGCCTGTAGTCCCAGCTACACGGGAGGCTGAGGCAGGAGAATTGCTTGAACCCAGAAGGCAGAGGTTGCAGTGAGCTGAGATCATGCCACTGCACTCCAGCCTGGGCGAAAGAATGAGACTCTGTCCCTGAAAAAAAAAAAAAAAATTAGTTTTACCTGAGTCATCATGAGCAGTTTTGAGTGCACACTAGTATAGTGGACCATCATTATTCAGGTTAATAAATTCTTCACTCACATTAGTTGCTTAGGGCTGGTGGTAGAAACTCAGCTAGTCAAGCTTCATTCTGAGAGTCTCAGAGTTACTATTGACAGCGGATGATTCTTCTTAAAAAGCAAAAAAAGAGAAAGGTTGGTGCTTGAATGAACTTCCACAGATATTATTTTTCTAGTTTTTCTTTGAGACTATGTATGTGGATCTATTTTGTGCAGTCTGTATGCCCTCTTTCCTCTCTACATGAGGAAACACACAATTACCTGCAGGCTATTTATTGAAAAAAATTACATGTATGAGGAGGAAATGTGGAGAGTTAGAAGTGGATAGCAAGAGCATTGGAATAGACTTCTAGACTAATATTTAGTATGACTAACCCTCAGTATTATTCATAATACTGAGTATTTGAAAGTATTTGATATTATTAAGCACCAGTAAGAGCTGCTTCTTGCAACTTTGATCTCTGTTGTGTATTTGGCCAGCAGAATGAATGGCTGGTTAAACATTTCCCTAGTGCAAAAAAACCTCTAATTCTAGGAAATTTCTGTCTTCAGGCCAGCTCCAATAAAAAGCCACACCAGGGGAGCATTTAAGGGGATTTTCCCCTAGTACAACCACCAAAAAAAAAAAAATTAATTAGTAAGAATTAATTTGCTTCTGAGCCAATCCCAGGATGGACTGTTTCATTTTAATACATGAAAATGTGCTTAAATATAACTTGAGATTTCAAGAGTTGGGCTTCTAGTTTTAACCACTGCCCTGCAGACCAAGAGCTATGTTGGTAATTGAGATATTTCTGTGAAAAGAAAGAAGAGTGGTGATCATTGTGTTTCCAACTGAATCAAAGAAGAGAATTAAATCCTCTTTAGCTGGTGGAAATCTTAGCAAACATGATATTAGCATTTCCCTTCATAGACAACCTGTGATCCAGTCCTTTAAACACAAAGAGTGTAAGACAGGTGGACCACAGGTTCAATTCCACACCAGTTAATTTGGAGGAAGTGGGCTTATCTGTTCATTCTAGGGAAACAGTATTGAGATGAAAAAGTGTAAATGCAATCTGTTCAACATAAGCGCTTTAGAACTCTTTCATGTTATAAATAGAACAGAGATCGTTGCTTTCACCTGGATTCAGCAGCTGAAGTAAAAAATCTTGATTCAGTAATTAAGCAATAGCTTACAACTAAATGTCTATGAGTTGCTTTGCATTCTCTTTTTATGTAAAATGGTATTTTTTTGTCCTTTCTTCTCTTATTCTGTCTCTTCTCAGTTATCCTTCTTCCTTTTCTTGAGCCTCTGCTGTCCCTGACCCTTCACTTTCTCCCCCCGGCCTTTTTCTTCTTTGTTGAATATCAATGGAAAGATGGGTAGGAGGGAGATTGCATACACAGTGCCTATGGTAAATCTGAAACACCAGCATTAGTTAGAGAGTCTATTAGTTTCTAGGGCTGCTGTGACAAATTACTACACACTTGATGGCTTAAAATAACATTCATTTATTAACTCATTGTTTCTGCATGTCATGGGTTTCTGTAGGGAGATATATCACAATTTCAGAAGCCAAGCGTGCTGGGCTAATTCCTCTCATTAGTCTCACAGGACAAAAATCTAGGTGTCAGCCAGCCATGCTCTCTTCTGTAGGCTCTAGGTGAGCATCCATTTTCTGATACATGCAGGTAATTGGCAACATTCAGTTCTGGCCAGTTGGCAGGAGCATGGGTAGTATGGCTTGTCCTCAGCTTCTGGAGCTACCTGTGCTTGTTGGCTTATGGCCTGCATCCCCAAAGACAGCAATGGTGAGTGAGTCTTTCTCTCATTTCTTCTCTCTTGCCTCTTCTTTTGCTACATCTCTCTCATCTACTCTTTTGCCCTCTTCTTTTTTCTTTTTAAACCACCCACTCCCCAGAAGGGAGAAGGATGTAAAGTGGGTCTGGAGGAATAAATGGAAGACATCTAGCATACAATATTCTCTCCTTTAAATAATTATTTTTAGGATGGGCGTGGTGGCTCACGCCTGTAATCTTAGCACTTTGGTAGGCCAAAGTGGAATCACCTGAGGTCAGGAGTTCAAGACCAGCCTGACCAACATACAGAAGCCCTGTCTGTACTAAAAATACAAAATTAGCTGGGCATGGTGGTGCATGCCTCTAATCCCAGCTACTCAGGAGGCTGAGGCAGGAGAATCACTTGAACCCAAGAGGCGAGGTTGTGGTGAGTGAGATCACACCATTGCACTCCAGCCTGGGCAACAAGAGTGAAACTCTGTCTCAAAAACAAGCAAATAAATAAATATCATAAGGAAAAAATTTTTAAAATTTATAGAAGCCACTTTCATTTATAAAGGCACATGTGATTACTTACATTGGGGTCCTACTGACAACTCAGGATAATGTCCCTAATTTAAAGTCAGCTGTTATGTAGCTTTAATTCCGTAAGCAAAATCCCCTTGTCAGGTAAATTAACACATTCACCAGCATATTACCAGGAGATAAAGGTCATCTGGACCAAAACCCTGGCTACTATACTGTGTTAGTCTGTTTTCATGCTGCCAATAAAGATATACCTGAGACTGGGAAGAAAGACAGATTTAATTAGACTTACTGTTCCACCTGGCTGGGGAGGCCTCAGAATAATGGCGAAGTCAAAAGGCACTTCTTAGTCGTGGTGGCAAGAGAAAAATGAGGAAGAAGCAAAGGGTAAACCCCTCATAAATCCATTAGATCTCATGAGACTTATTCAATATCACAAGAATAGCAGGGGAAAGACCAACCCCCATGATTCAGTTACCTCCCCCTGGGTCCCTCCCACAACATGCAGTATTCTGGGAGATACAATTCAAGTTGAGATTTGGGTGGGGACACAGCCAAACCATATCATACACTGATCTTGTTTTGTTGACTTCATGATAGAGCATAGATTTAGGAAGCTGACAGGTAGGAAATGAGTTTGTAAATGGTCAGGGAAAATTAAAAAGTTTAATCTGGTCTCCTTTACAAGTGTGTAGCTAATAGAATGCCTGAAAGCAAAGCTAGGTTTTCTTTTTCAAGACTTTTGTATGTGTATGTGAGTGTGTATCCAATTCAACATATCAATAATTGCTTGAGCTCCTCAAATTTTACTCACTGGTGCATGACTCATTTGGCTTGTGCCTGAAAAGAAATTTAAGGTCTTGTTTCTGGTTAATTATTACAACCCTAGAAGAGCCTTAATGATACTTTCAAGGATGGTCAATTTGGGGTAACATGACTTTCCATATGCTCAGGTCAATTGAACTTTAGAAAAAAGTAGCTGTAAAACTTAGGCATGTAATTATTTAGAATAATCAATATTAACCTTAATTTTCTTTTTTTTCCCATTTATTTATTTTATTGCATTTTAGGTTTTGGGGTACATGTGAAGAACATGCAAAATTGTTGCATAGGAACACACGTGGCAGTGTGATTTGCTGCCTTCCTCCCCATCACCTACATCTGGCATTTCTCCCCTTGCTACCTCTCCCCAGCTTCCCACCCCCCACCGTCCCTCCCCTAATTCCCCCCAACTGACCCCAGTGTGTAGTGCTCCCCTCCCTGTGTCCATGTGTTCTCATTGTTCAACACCCACCTATGAGTGAGAACATGCGGTGTTTGATCTTCTGCTCTTCTGTCAGTTTGCTGAGAATGATGGTTTCCAGGTTCATCCATGTCCCTACAAAGGACCCAAACTCATCGTTTTTGATGGCTGCATAATATTCCATGGTGTATATGTCCCACATTTTCCCTATCCAGTCTATCGTCGATGGGCATTTGGGTTGGTTCCAGGTCTTTGCTATTGAAAACAGTGCTGCAATGAACATTCGTGTGCATGTGTCCTTATAGTAGAACGATTTGTAATCCTTTGGATATATACCCAGTAATGGGATTGCTGGGTCAAATGGAATTTCTATTTCTATGTCCTTGAGGAATCTCCACACTGTCTTCCACAATGGTTGAACTAATTTACACTCCCACCAACAGTGTAAAAGTGTTCCTATTTCTCCACATCCTCTCCAGCATCTGTTGTCTCCAGATTTTTTAATGATCACCATTCTAACTGGCATGAGATGGTATCTCAATGTAGTTTTGATTTGCATTTCTCTGATGACCAGTGATGATGAGCATTTTTTCATACATTTGTTGGCCTCACGTATGTCTTCTTTTGTAAAGTGCCTGTTCATATTCTTTGCCCACTTTTGAATGGGCTTGTTAGTTTTTTTCTTGTAAATCTGTTTTAGTTCTTTGTAAATTCTGGATATCAGCCCTTTGTCAGATGGGTAAACTGCAAAAATTTTTTCCCATTCTGTTGGTTGCTGATTCACTCTAATGATTGTTTCTTTTGCTGTGCAGAAGCTGTGGAGTTTGATTAGGTCCCATTTGTCTATTTTGGCTTTTGTTGTCAATGCTTTTGGTGTTTTGGTCATGAAGTCCTTGCCTACACCTACGTCCTGAATGGTTTTGCCTAGATTTTCTTCTAGGGTTTTTATGGTGTTAGGTCTTATGCTTAAGTCTTTAATCCATCTGGAGTTAATTTTAGTGTAAGGTATCAGGAAGGGGTCCAGTTTCTGCTTTCTGCACATGGCTAGCCAGCTTTCCCAACACCATTTATCGAACAGGGAATCCTTTCCCCATTGCTTGTTTTTGTCTGGTTTGTCAAAGATCAGACAGTTGTAGATATGTTGTGTTGCCTCCAAGACCTCTGTTCTGTTCCATTGGCCTATATCTCTGTTTTGGTACCAGTACCATGCTGTTTTGATTACTGTAGCCTTGTAGTATAGTTTGAAGTCTGGTAGTGTGATGCCCCCCGCTTTGTTCTTTTTGCTTAGAATTGACTTAGCTATGCGGGCTCTCTTTTGGTTCCATATGAAGTTTAAGGCGGTTTTTTCCAGTTCTGCGAAGGTCATTGGTAGCTTGATGGGGATAGCATTGAATCTGTAAATTACTTTGGGCAGTATGGCCATTTTCACAATATTGATTCTTCCTAACCATGAACATGAATGTTTCTCCATCTGTTTGTGTCCTCTCTTATTTCGTTGAGCAGTGGCTTGTAATTCTCCTTGAAGAGGTCCTTTACATTCCTTGTTAGTTGTATTCCTAGGTATTTTATTCTCTTTGTGGCAATTGTGAATGGAAGTTTGTTCTTGATTTGACTCTCTTCAAGTCTGTTATTGGTGTATAGGAATGCATGTGATTTTTGCACATTGATTTTGTATCCTGAGACTTTGCTGAACTTGCTTATCAGTTTCAAGAGGTTTGGGGCTGAGACGATGGGGTCTTCTAGGTATACAATCATGTCGTCTGCAAATAGAGACAATTTGACTTCCTCCTTTCCTACTTGAATGCCCTTTATTTCTTTTTCTTGCCTGATTGCTCTGGCTAGAACTTCTAATACTATATTGAATAGCAGTGGTGAGAGAGGGCATCCTTGTCTGGTGCCACATTTCAAGGGGAATGCTTCCAGTTTTTGCCCATTCAGTATGATATTGGCTGTTCGTTTGTCATAAATAGCTTTTATTATTTTGAGATACGTTCCATCGATACCTAGCTTATTGAGGGTTTTTAGCATAAAGGGCTGTTGAATTTTGTCAAAGGCCTTCTCTGCATCAATTGAGATAATCATGTGGTTTTTGTCTTTGATTCTGTTTATGTGGTGAATTACGTTTATAGACTTGCGTATGTTGAACCAGCCTTGCATCCCCGGGATGAAGCCTACTTGATCATGGTGGATAAAGTTTTTGATGTGCTGTTGCAATCGGCTTGTTAGTATTTTATTGAAGATTTTTGCATCTATGTTCATCATGGATATTGGCCTGAAGTTTTCTTTTCTTGTTGAATCTCTGCCAGGTTTTAGAATCAGGATGATGTTGGTCTCATAAAATGATTTGGGAAGAATGCCCTATTTTTGTATTGTTTGGAATAGTTTCAGAAGAAATGGTAGCAGCTCCTCTTTGTATGTCTGGTAGAATTCAGCTGTGAACCCATCTGGATCTGGGCTTTTTTTGGGTGGTAAGCTCTTAATTGCTGTCTCAACTTCAGACCTTGTTATGGGTCTGTTCAGGGTTTCAGCTTCTTCCTGATTTAGGCTTGGCAGGAGGCAAGTGTCCAGGAATTTATCCATTTCTTCCAGGTTTATTAGTTTGTGTGCATAGAGTTGTTTGTAATAATCTCTGATGATGGTTTGAATTTCTGTTGAATCTGTGGTGATATCCCCCTGATCGTTTTTTATTGCATCAATTTGGTTATTCTCTCTTTTCTTTTTTATTTATCTGGCTAGTAGTCTGTCTATTTTGTTGATCTTTTCAAAAAACCAGCTCCTGGATTTCTGGATTTTTTGAAGGGTTTTTTGTGTCTCTATCTCCTTCAGTTCTGCTCTGATCTTAGCTATTTCTTGTCTTCTGCTAGACTTTGAGTTTTTTTTATCTTGCTCCTCTAGCTCTTTCAGTTTTGATGATAGGGTGTCAATTTTTGATCTCTCCTTGCTTCTCATGTGGGCACTTATTGCTATATATTTTCCTCTAGAGACTGCTTTAAATTTGTCCCAGAGATTCTGATATGTTGTGCCTTCATTCTCGTTGGTTTCAAAGAACATCGTTATTTCTGTCTTCATTTCATTGTTTATCCAGTCAACATTCAAGAGTAAGTTGTTCAGTTTCCATGAAGCTGTGCGGTTCTGGGTTAGTTTTTGAATTCTGAGTTCTAACTTGATTGCACTGTGGTCTGAGAGATGTTTGTTACGATTTCTGTTCTTTTGCATTTGCTGAGGAGTGATTTACTCCCAATTATGTGGTCAATTTTAGAGTAGGTGTGATGTGGTGCTGAGAAGAATGTATATTCTGTGGATTTGGGGTGGAGAGTTCTGTAAATGTCTATTAGGTTTGCTTGGTCCAGGTCTGAGTTCAAGTCCTGGATATCCTTGTTAATTTTCTGTCTGGTTGATCTGTCTAATGTTGACAATGGGGTGTTAAAGTCTCCCGCTATTATTGTGTGGGAGTCTACGTCCCTTTGTAAGTCATTAAGAACTTGCGTTATGTATCTGGGTGCTCCTGTATTGGGTGCGTATATATTTAGGATCGTTAGCTCTTCTTGTTGCATTGATCCTTTTACCATTATGTAATATCCCTCTTTGTCTCTTATGATCTTTGTTGCTTTAAAGTCTAATTTATCAGAGATGAGAATTGCAACTCCTGCTTTTTTTTGCTCTCCATTTGCTTGGTAAATCTTCCTCCATCCCTTTATTTTGAGCCTTTGTGGATCCTTGCATGTGAGATGGGTTTCCTGGATACAGCACACCAATGGGTTTTGGCTTTTTATCCAATTTGCCAGTCTGTATCTTTTGATTGGGGCATTTAGTCCATTTACATTTAGGGTTAATATTGTTATGTATGAATTTGAAACTGCCATTTTGGTGCTAGCTGGATGTTTTGCCCTTTAGCTGAGCTGGTACTTGTTGTTCCTTTATATGTGTAGAGCCTCTTTCAGGAGCTCTTGTAGAGCTGGCCTGGTGGTGACGAAATCTCTGAGTACTTGCATGTTCCCAAAGGATTTTATTTTTCCTTCACTTATGAAGCTTAGTTTGGCTGGATAGGAGATTCTGGGTTGAAAGTTCTTTTCTTTAAGGATGTTGAATATTGGCCCCCATTCTCTTCTGGCTTGTAGGGTTTCTGCTGAGAGGTCTGCTGTGAGTCTGATGGGCTTCCCTTTATGGGTAACCTGACCTTTCTCTCTGGCTGCCCTTAGTATTTTCTCCTTCATTTCGACCCTGGTGAATCTGACGATTATGTGCCTTGGGGTTGCTCTTCTTGACGAATATCTTTGTGGTGTTCTCTGTATTTCCTGGACTTGAATGTTTGC